GAGGGGAGGTGAGGTGAGGTGAGGTGAGGTGAGGTGAGGTGAGGTGAGGTGAGGTGAGGAGGAGGAGAAGGAGGTGAGGCGGGACAGCCCCAAAAAGTAAGAACCCCACAGCATGATGTGGGGAATAAATAAATATATATATATATATATATGTACATATAACATACTATAATATAAGTACTATATTATACTGTATCATTCTATACGACACATATTAGAGCCAGCGTCAATGAACAAAATCATTGTCCAGCACGTAGAATTGGCCCACACGCACGACAAAATGCTACAGAAATCCACGAATCGAGACGCTCCCGTGGATTGAAGGGGCTTCCCTACATGCAGATGCCGGCACACTTCCCGCAAAGCATAGTGGCTTGCATCGAAACTCACACACAAGTCCTGCCTGGCTCTTGACGTTGGCACGCGGTGGATTTGCTGCAGTCTCCAAGCGCTTGCGGACCTCTCTCATATGTTTACAGCGACATCGTGCAAGCTTCGAGAATCGCAGTGGCAAACATTTTGGAGTTTAGCCTTAGGGTTTCTATCTGGCGATGGAACCGAAGTTCTGCCAGACTGCAGCTGTTACCAATAGCAGGTCAGAAGAAGCATCGGATAACTTCAGCTCAAGCTTTCAGAGCCAATGAGCGCGTGCTGGATCTCCCAGCATGAACCCTGTCTCTGCAGCCCAGTGGCACGGGGAGGTCGGATGGACTTTGTAGGCACCGGAAATTCCACCCGCACTCCCTCCTGAGTGGAACCAGTAGAGTTACGGTGGTGTCAGCCTTGTATTTGCAATGTGCAAAGCAGAAGCCTGCCCCAAACTGCAATCCAGCAAGACTAGGGAGAACCGACGTGATCACTTTCGGAAACACTTTCCATAGGGAATCCAAAATACCAAGCCCCTTCACTGGCCTGTGTGTCCTTTCACCCTCAACATGCAAATCAGCCCAGCGTCTCGGAAGATGAGAGGCTTACATTCGTCGCCGACCTCATCAGGTGAAGCAGGTATATATATATATATATATGTATATATATATATAGATATATATTAATATATCTATATAGATATATATATGTGTATATATATATATATGCTATGTTTGCGGTCCTGAAACCTCGATCGGCTGTCGTGGTAGATTTGAGACTTCCTGCCCCCATTCTTTGGCACCCATAGCCGGCTAGGATCTACAATCTTGTGACAGCACTGCGATGAAGTGGATGTAATCAAATCCAGCCATACCCTGAAGCCGAAGGTACAGTCTTGGAAACAGGGGTGAAGAAACACGGATTGAACAGTATGCAGTATAATACAACATAATACCAGATAGTATCATATAACATAAAATATAGTACAATCTAATATATGGAGGTGTCATGGCCTGTCCGAAGGTCCGTGAAGCCTTCGTGCGCCCTCATCTGAAGTATCAGTTCGCTGCTTGCCGCCGCAGCTTCTGAGGGGGATCCAGGTTTGGAACTGAGAACATACCCACTTCCGATTCACAGATTCTAGGTTCCCCAGTAGACCCCTAACAATAAGGGCATTCTTTTTTGGGTTTAATGAAGGACCCCAAAAACAAAAACGGCAAAGGGGTACTACTGCGGAACCTAGGATTTGTTAAGACAGCTTGTCTTTTTACGTGGAGTGAAGAGACAGCTCCACCCAGGCTGTTGCAAGACTCTTCTGCAGAATCAGGCTCGGACTTCGCCATGCATGACCTTACATGAATCACGCTGCACAAACGAACTTCACTATAGGGGCTTGAATAATTCGAAGAGGGTTTTGGGCTCATTTTTCTCTATTTATGATAAGGAAGCCCCAAAGTAGTATTGTTAATTATTAGGCCCCTAGCCTACATTACGCTGCTGGAGCACGAGTCTCATGTTCTTAAGCAAAGGTGCAACCCGACACATGATCGGACTTCCCGGCTGCCACTCTCCCGCGCTTCGCTGCACAAGCAATTTAAGCCAACAGCCCAGCAAGAACTCGGATCCGTGAGAAGGGAATGACACGAAAATCACAATCTTGCCAAGAAGCTGGGCTATTGCGGTAGCGTTCAATGTGTGCTTCGAGCCCTGCCATGTCAAACGTCAAGCTTCCGACTTCCGACCGGTTTGAGGTTTAGGGTTGAAGGGTTTCCAGTGGTGCTTCAACTAGCGACAAACCCTCCTGCCTGCGATTAATTGATACTGGAAGCGGCCCTTCGAGCATGATCGGAGATGCACATGGGCAAAGGATGTGTCCTCAGTCGTGGTCACACCTATGACGACAGTTACCATGGCAGATTGTTGTGCTCAACATGGATACTAACAATGTGGGTATATGAAGTGAGTCATGTTGATACTGGCGGCGAAGACCACCGTTATCATAGAGATGACTACCAGCCGGCATTGTGGCAGTGGCAGCACGGTGGCACCTTGGAAGGACCTCCGCATGAGCCTACTACTTTACAAGAACAGACCTTGATCTGAACACCAGCAAAAACGTAACGATGACTACGAAAGCTTTAATGTTACTGATGGCAGATGTAGCCAAGGCTGCTTTTCATGCCAGTACGGTGCTGAATGGAACTCCCAAACCACTCTTTACAAGAGCGATGGTGAAGGCCCCATGATGGAAGAGATGAAGTAAATGAGATGATCATGGCTGTAGTTCTTGATATCATCATCATCATCATCGTCATAATCATTATCATCTTTCTTGCCTTTCTCACCGTTCTCAGCATGATCATGGTTATCGGACCTCACAACCACCATCGCATCACCATCCTCGTCATCGTCATCACCATCACCATCAACATCATCATGATCGGTCATTGTTGCACGATGCAACATCAGTAATATCATACACTTGGCGGTTCACACAGTAGTGCCTTGATGAGGACCGCTCCAGCTGATGTAGCAAACCTGCACCACTGGTCCACTCTTCTGGGAGTTTCGTGTTTTCAGGTCCCCAATAAAGTAAGTAGGGCACCCTTACAAAAAGGACCCTATAAGGGACCCTAGTTTAAAGAACTACTCATGTGAGCAGGACCCTTTCGGGCTTGTTTCTGCACCTTCTTGCTGGGCAGGCTCCAGTTGCTGAAGCCATCGAACGACCTCCAAAATGAGGGCACCACACCTGCTCGGGCAGGTGCTGTGCAAATGTCAAGCTTCGGGGCATGAGAAGCCTTTGTTCTTGTACTGATGCGCGTGACGGTTTAGGGTTTAGGGGTTTGGGGTTTAGGGTGTGATCATATAGTTCTTGAGGATGGTGCGCACGTCCACCAACTCATCAAGATCCGCTGCACCGTTGCACGGCCAACTAACACGGTGAGCCTGGATCCACCAAATTGACGAACGCATAGCCCAGGCAGGCGTGGGTCTGGAAATCAATGGGGAGGTACAAGAAATCCTGAGTTAGCAGGATATGACGCTTGGTTCGGGGTCCGAATAAGTCAAGACCCAGTGCAGTATGCTCGTGTTGAGTCAGCGGTCAGTTGTCATCACCCGAGTTCTACAAGCTTGGTGTGGAAATCACTCTGCCAACCCTCCAAGCATTTCTTTTGCTTGCCTCCCGTTCGCTTCCAAGTCGCATATTGTCCACGGAAGCCCATGCTGTCAATCAGCTCCAAGAGCATGTCCTCTGTCAGGAGCAGTGGGAATTCTTGCGTCGCTGAGGTGATGAAAGAGGTTCTGATTACAGAACCCCGAACCCCAAGATCCGAAACTCTGAAACCCCAAACCCTTACAGAACACTTGTGGTAACCGTTATGGTCGCCCTTGAAGGAACCCCGAACCTACTAGGCTTCCAGTGCAGCTGGGGCTCTCTCGTGTAATTGTTGGGCAAATTCCTCAGCATTACCTGGCAGCTCCAGATCCGCCACCAGATGCCCCCACTAAACCCCCCCCTAAACCCTAAACAGTAGTAGATAGTACTTCGTAATTATTTGTAGGTCGCCGTTCGGTAAGTAGTAAGTAGAAGGTAGTAAATAGTAGGTAGTAAGTAGGTAGTGGTCGTGGTAGTGGTAGTGGTAGTGGTGGTGGTGGTGGTGGTGCTCGTAGTCGTCGTCGTAGTAGTAGT